CGTGATATATTATTTTTATTTTGTTTTATTTTTCTACCTACGTAACTTTACCGAAAGAACCAAAGAGCATGGATTCCTGCAGTCACGAAAGCTTCAAATCAAGATATTCTATTTCCCGCATCTCACGGTTGGCTACGTACGGTGCGAAACAAGTTCCGCATATTCTTGGTTCTTTCGGTAAAGTCACGTAGAAGGGAAATAATAAAAGAATAAAAATAAAACAATAAAATTCTCACGTTTCGATTGCAACACAAGCAATCATCATCAGGTGTGAAAACCACAGCAAGAACATTTGGAAAAAGTGGCGGTTTTTCCTACTGTGGTTTTCACACCTGATGAACGTCGTGAGAATGTTATTGTTTTATTTTTATTATTTTATTATTTCCCTTCTACGTGACTTTACCGAAAGAACCAATAATATGAATCCCTGCAGTCACGAAAGCTTTAAATTGAAACCCTCACAGTATTATTCAGAGTACAGTGTGCTAACCACTGCACCACCGCTCACCCGCTGATTACAGCTCCAATTTTATAAATAATTTTGGTTTAATGCAACTTAATTTAAATCCCTTGTCCACACTAGATTTATATTCTGTATTTCACAGTGCGAATGTGTTTGAAAATAATATACAAGTACAATTTAGATATGCACGCAAGTGTATTGAATTGTGAATACTGAATGATATGCAGAGGCTTAACTTCTCACTCGATATACAGTATTCCGGAAAGCTGCTCTAGGCTAGCTCGGAGTAGGGAGTATCGGTGTAAGGCACTGCCACTAGAGTTCAAGATATGCCTATCCATTAAAACGCGATATTATTGTACTCGATATGCTATAATCTTAAGAACAGATAGAGGACAATCTTAATTTGAAGCTTTCGTGACTGCAGGAATCCATACTATTTGGTTCTTTCGGTAAAGTCACGTAAGTAGAAAATATTTAAAAATAAATAAATTGTATTCTATACCTACGTGACTTTACAGATAGAGGACACGATAAGGCGATATGGATGTGACTGGGTGTCTTAAATAATTCGTGGAACAGCGTTGTGGACTGTTTGGGCTGAAATTAAGCACTGCATGTGATCAGGGCCGTATTCAGATCGTGCAGGCCCCTGGGCTAACAGGTACTGTGAGGCCCCCAGTAATATTTTCAAAAGGAAAACAAAGTTAAAGAAATGTATTTGTACAAGGCTAACAACAAATAAAATTCAGCATTCACAAATAACGTTTCACTTTATCTCTGGAGGTCCTCCAGCTGACGGAGGCCCCTGAAGCCCCCATGCCTTAATCCGGCCCGGCACGTGATGTGTGTAAAGACTGCACGGACAATGCGGGCACTGGATGTAAATTGATTATCTGCCTTAAAAAAGAAAGGCGCGTAATTGCGCACGTTTTGGAGGAATGGCCTGCGATGTGCCATGAATAAAGGTAATTGGAAAACATATAAGTGGCGTTTCGGGAAATGACCCTTGATGTGCTTTGAAGAATATCGATTTCCCGAAACGTCGGCTATTTTATATATTTCCTTGAAAGCCTGTGTTGTTAACAAGTGCATTGACGTTTTTTGTTGTTGTTGCTGTTAACTGCATATAAAGATTATGTAAGTATGTCTACCTGCTCCCCACCCCACACCCCCACTCTCCAACCCACACGCGCACACGCGCGCGCGCGCAGCTGAACTGCAGAGCGATGCTGTTGTGCGGGTCCCTTCTCGTTGGCCTCGCCGTCTTTCTCTCCTGCTCCGAGGCTGCTCCCTTGGCGCATCCCGTATCCGGCCCAGGAGATGGCGCCATCAGGTAACCCGGTGGTTTCTGCACTCATTTTCAGAGAGAGAGAGACCACTTTCACCGATAAGACATCATGAGTTCGAGGGCCGCCACGCATTTAAAATCATTGGGGTTTGACGGCCAACACTTGGGGGGGGGGGGGGGGCGGGGTGTTTACACATCATCATCACCATCGTCATCGTCACCGCCACCTGCAGGCCCTGGTCCACTCAAGGGAGGTCCGCAAGGCCACGGGAATTGGCCTTTGAGTTGTGATCCAGATGCGACGATTTAGAGGCACCGCCGTTTGAATTTTGTAAAATGTATTGTCTCGCTGCACAGTGCTCGGCGAGTTGGACTTGAGGCTTGACAGCTGACAGTGGGGTCCGTGGGTTCCCGAATACTTGGGAACTGCTGGTCCTAGAGCAATGCCGCGTAGCAATTTGGTCCGGATGGTGGATCCATTATGGCACGTGCAGCTGTCATACAATAACCAGTTACGGAACGTCGTGTCGGTCATGGCGGTTGTCTGACCATACTTCACCACGCTGGGCAATGCCGGTTGGTAAATGGGAGCGATGGCAGTGAGGGAGGGGGGGAGTGCAGCCCAAAACTGCGGTGGCACTTGCCACGGATATGTTAGTTGTGGCCGGGAATCGAACTCGGCTTGTACCGGGTTGGTCGTCCATTGCGCTAACCACCGCGCCACCGCTCCATCGCTAAATACAATGTCACGGGTGAAAAATATTACATCGGGATGTCTTTAGAGTGGCCGTGAGCTGCTTTGACTACATGCACTGGGCTGCGTGGTAACTGACCATGGTGCTAAAATCGATCCACTCAATGCGTATGAGTTGTACGTGTTGCTATGAGGACAGAAAAAGGATTTAATTCATGTGCAGGCTGTGCATTTTGAATTCCCCACATATTATTATCAGTGCGCGCGTGTGTGTGTGTGCGGTAAACCCAACATAATGTCGAAATAATAATAGTGATGATTTACACCCATGTCACAGCCCATTACTGGGTGTAGAAACTCCCAACGCTGTTCACTTCAAGGGGTTGTTGGTTGTTTGACCCCAACTTGACCGCGCTGGCCAATGCGTGCTGAGGTCAGTAAATGTGGCTGCCCATCGCTGCTGCGGATACCACGCGCCCACCGATGTTAGCTGCTGTGGCTCAGAATCGAATTCAGATGTCCGGCGTTATTAGCGCAGTTTGTCGTGCGCCACGGTTCCGGCACTCAATCAACCATTGTATAACGAGCAAGAGGTCTAGGTTATACGTTGCGAAATGTGACCGAATACAAATTCTCAACGTGATTGTTTGCAATGCACTTTTGTTTACGAGAAAGAGGCGGTTCGTGATCATTACGGTGTAGTTCCTTGGCCCATCACAAGTCACACGGAACGCTCCCGATCTCGTCAGATCTTGCAAGCTAAGCAGGGGTTGAGCCTGAATTAGTTGCTTGTATAAGCGAACGCCACGCACGGGGCTGTACATACACACGGCTGTAGAGCTTACGTATGCATGTTGAACTTCTTTCGCACCGTACGTCGCCAACCCTGCTAATATTAGGTGCTGGGGTGGGCAGCAGAGGACAGTTCAGCACAACCCACGCTTCCACGTCTATGTTCGTCGCCTCCTGGACGATATAATAACCCCTACGGCCCTCGGAGCGTTGGGGAGGCCATTCATCCAGCAGTGGAGTAGCACGTGCATTATCCGTCGTGAAGCATTAACCCGAATTAAATCTCTCGACCCCCCCCCACCCATCCAACCCCTCTTCTCCCACCTCCCTCGTTGCCCCACGCGTTCCACCCAACCCGCTCCCCTTCGCGGTGGCTCGGGTTCGCGCAGCAAGCGCTCGGTGGCCGAGCAACAGTTCATGAACGACAAGGGACGAATGCTCAAGGAGATGGGCCGCCGTCTTTGGATGCACTCGATGGTCAGCGAGGTGCACACGGCACCGCGAGGCCGGGACGGAGGGATGCCGCCACGGGCTTCGCTGAGCGGGGCGCGCGCCGGTTCCCGCGTGGCCCTGCACAGGTCCCTGCGCCACGTGGACCCTGCAGCTGCAGCAGCTGCAGCAGTATCTCACGGCCTGCATCAGCCAGGGTCCAAGCTCGCTCACCACCTAGAAGAGGGCCCCGTGGATGATGGGACGATTCCATGAGAGCGAACGAGCGAGTGCGCGGCCGCTCTCCCTTCCCAGATAAAAACGAGCCCCTCTCCTCCCCCCCCCTCTGACGAGCTTATCTGGATACGGTAATAGGATCACGCTGCCAAGTTCACCCATGCGTTTTCAGGTTGTACCGAGCGCTATTCGGCACGGTGACTGACGTTTCGCTGCACATGCTGGAAGATGATTCTTGGAACTTCCATCCAGTCAGGTCACGAACAAGCTCCCAGCACGTGCAGCAACACGTCAGACTCAAGGCTGCACCACACGTGGTACAACCTCAAAATACATTGGAGAGTGATACAGAACAACCACGAAACCCTAAGAAGCACGTTATAATATATTCCCATTACATGAGCACGTAACCGGAACATGTAATCAATTTATATACCAGGGTAATAGAGATTTGGCATTTGGCAAACTATTTCTTAAGGTTTATTAAAATGTTTTAATTAGGAAACTGCTGTACGAGTCGGCCGTCTACATAATACAGTAACTCTGTCATGATCATATTAAGTCACCTATTTATCCAAGAAAGCCTCGAGTCTTAATTGTTTTAGGATGGTTCACTTGGTATATTTGGCTAAATACTGAAGACAGTTATTTCAATTACCGTTTAACAACCTATTATTTTGGATGAATGGTCGCACTTTGAATTATGTAATCCTTTCTGATGTTTCCTTTAGCATTAATCTGACTTCATGTGCATCCACCCTGTATGAACCACTCTAACACAATCCATTCCCCTTTTGAGTGTTCAAAAGAGGATCTCGATTGCAGATAGCGGCGTCCTTTCATCATTATCCTCGGACATTCACTTTGTTCCAATCCCAAAAAGTGTGCTCATGAGCAGTGGTGGCGTCGCCTGGCTGGAATGGGCCTTGGTACAAACAATGGAATGGGGGGGGGGGGGGGCAATCAAATCCCATTTATTCATCGGCCACAATATCCTGGGATTTTCCGGCCTGTGGACCCCCAGCGCAAGACGCACGACCTGCACACTCACGGTTAGGCCATTGATCGTGAAATATCCAATCAATGTAACGAAACATTTTAAAGCTTTTAAAGTTTTCCTAACAAGAAAAATTCCCGCAAAATATAAAAGATTGGAAACCGTCAGCTAACGCAGAATAGTTATGACATGAAAATATGTACACAACTAATGCACTATGTCTACAATGATGAGCTAATGTTATATGGAATGTATTTATTTGTATTCTTTCTACATCTTTAAGTTAAGACCGTATTACATTAAGTGATATCAACTGCTACTAAGTAATTATTTACACTTTATGAGTTTTGACATATAACTGTAAAGGAGCATTTGCCTAAAATATTGTATTTTAAAATATATTTTAACCATGACTAATGACATTTTGAAATACGACGTCCTTACATACAGTACTTTGGTGTTCACACAATAACTTTCATTTATATACAAATAGGTATTCACCCATCCCGGCTTCATTATAGAATTACAAAATAACAATAGTGCATTGCATATATATTTAAATCCATGAAATGATCCCATATACACAGTTTGGCCTTAAGTTCAAATTCTTTCGGTAACAATTTTTGAAGGAAGTTCCTTTAAACTAATGAATGAGCAGTATAATTCTATTTTCAGGTTGTATCATCACATGTTCTCGGTGAATTCATAAGCCGTGTCCTGAGTGACTCAGCTAACACATTCCTCCTGCGGAGGGAGCTGGTAGGAACGTTGGGTTGCTCGGTCAATGGCCAGGGTCAACGGCGGCGTGGTGTATTCCGAAAATATGCCCGACTGTGAGGGTGGGCACAAGCCGGCGTGAGTCGGTTAAACGTTGAGTTTTATAAGGGCACCACGGGGTGACCACCCCCTCTCCACCCAGCCCCACCCCTCCCATTTTTAATGCACGACGGACGGACACAATAATCCCCTGTGGGCTGGTGGAACCAGATGGTTCCTACCAGTAACACATATGACTCAGTGTGCCATGTCTAAAACTCTCAACTGGAAACTTGTGGAATGTTACCGTCTTTTAAGTAAGCACTTATATACACAGGGTTTCGCTGTCAGAGCAAGAATTGTTCAAGCTCATACGGTGTACAATGTAATACGCAAAGCAGTATTAGCATCACGTTAAGATATTAGAACATCGTATAAACATTTATGAAACGTAATGTTTGGATTGCATTGTTTTAGTTATGGAATGCATTAAAACATTTTCCCTATGAATCAAGTGGAGCATATATTTGAATGTTTTGACTTTTCTTTTCACATTATAGTTGTATCCTAAAATAATGCATTTTATACAATAGGAATCCAGAACATACATTATATTGGTTGCAGCAAGATGGAATGGAATATTTTATGTAAAAAAAAAGTTTGGTCATCTTTATATATTTGTTGTAGTTTGCAAATAGGTCAAACTATATTTACAAACGTTCTAAAAGTCAAAATGCAAATGAACACAAAACCATTTAGATTTGAGCTTCACTATATGTTTAGAGAATATTAATGTACTTTCCTATGACAAAATCACCTGTAATGTGACCTGTCTCATAACATCTCATAAGCGAAGCAGGCATTTAAGCCAGGCTAAAACTTGGATGGGCGATCACCCAGCACGCTAGGATGTCTGCTGCTTTTGACACGGTCGAGCACAACATCCTCATCGACCGTCTTCACACTGCGTTTGGAGTTGGTGGATTTGTACAGTCGTGGATTGACTCTTTAATCCGGCAGAGGATGCAGACGTCGCCTTCCCTGGTCAGGAATCAACCAAGTCAGCAGTCCATTCCGGAGTGCCACAAGGAAGTGTTCTGGGTCGAGAGCTCTTTCTACTTTACCCGGCTGACATGACAACCATCGCTGAGCAACAAAGTTTTGGCATACACAGATATGCTGATGACACCCAGCTTTGTATAGATGTAGAACTTATTCTTCACCGTACGTAGCCAACTGTGCTAATCGATGGTGCGATTACTTTCACGAATAAAGCTGCTTCATGTGTTGCATCGTGATCGCGCCTCAGCTCCTACATTGACCAGTCGATGTCAACATATTTCAGATGAAGTTAAACGCTGAAATCGCTAAGACCCAGTTCATTTGGCTTGGTACCAGGCAGCAAATCATTCAGTGTCGGATCATGACCCCGGGGGGGGGGGGGGCACTGTCTGCTGATGTCAAGTGCCTGGGAGTTGACCCTGAACTGGAATTCTCTACACACATACGTGGCGGGCAGGTGCAATTACCAACTACGGCAGCTATGTACAACACACCGTTCATTGACTCTTGATGCAGCTGAGACATTAGTCCATACGCATTCATCACCAGTCGTGTTTGACTATTGCAAATGTCTTCGGCTGCGCCAATGCCATCCCATCTATGTCCACTCCAGTCTGTCCATCAGCACGAAGCATTTGGCAGCTCACGCCAACCTGGTCATTCCGTGCACTCGCAGAGCGAGATTTGGACCTCGCGGCCTTGCGGTCCACTGGCCTGAAACGGACTACCGCTGCACGTTCGAGACTCTTCAACAGTTCGGTAGAAGATGCAAGACAGAAAAATTTAATAGAGCTTGCAACGTATGCATTCTGCGCACTCGTGATAACACAGGTCATAGGAGTTGTGACGATAAATATCCATGCTTCATGTCATATAGGTGGCTGCGGAGCTGTGCTCCATTCTGGTCAACAGAGGGCAGTGCAGAAACATCCTTGGAACTGTGACGATTCTTCCACATCTGTGCTCCGTTGCTTAACAATCTCGCACTGACCAACAAGGTGAAGTAGGGTCAAATAAACACGATGACCCGCAACGCTGTCGGGAGACCGTCATCCAGGAAGTGCAATGACAAACGGGATATACATGTTCAAGTTGATGGGTTAAAAATCGAAAGTTGTATCTGGCAGAATCTAAGTTATTAGAGCTTTTTTAACTAGCTCATCTCCGAGCCTTCTCTGGTGGCCAGATATCTGCGCTGGTCCTTCAAGGCTTGCTCCAGGGCAGGGAGGTCCACGCCATCCACACACTGCACCACACGTGCCTTCAACAGAGGGCACTCCTCATCTGCAAAAAAAACAAAAGCACGATAGCAAAGGGCACACAATAGCAGTCTTTACACGTGTATTATCGTACTCCTAGACATCAACCACATTTCAGATACCATGACATTTATAAGCGAATTAATTAGCCCCATAAATGCCATGAGTGGCACCACTGTTTTATAAGTGGGTGGGCTAACTGGCTTTGTGTGGGCATGGAGGAGCAGGCAACACTGCAGATGTTAAGTAAGAAAATATCTCGATTTAAAGCTTTCGTGACTGCAGGGATTCATCTTCTTGGTTCTTTCGGTAAAGTCACGTAGAAGGGAAGTAATAAAATAATAAAAATAAAACATAAAATAATTCTCACGATGTTTCGGCCACAACGCAAGCAGCCGTCCTCAGGTGAAGAACAGGTCTGTCGGAAAGACGCTGTTCTTCACCCGAGGACGGCTGCTTGCGTTGTGGCCGAAACGTCGTGAGAATTATTTATGTTTTATTTTTATTATTTCATTATTTCCCTTCTACGTCACTTTACCGAAAGAACCAAGAAGATAAGAAAATATCCTTCGTGTAGGTGCTGCAGCCGATTGGCAGGGCCGTCTATCGGGGGGGGTGCGGGGGGCCGGGGCAAATCTCACTGTGTGCCCCTCCCCCCCACCACGCCTTTAAACTAAACCCAGAAGTATTACATCTGACACCGTGATGTCAAAGCGCAGGGCCCCCCCAAAGTGCAGGGCCTGGGGCAGTCCCCCCGATTTGCCGTACCATAGGGACGGCTCTGCCGAAGGGACAGGACATGAGGCTCCTTGGTTTAACATTTGACTCGAGGTTTTATTCTCTACCTAAGATTTGGTGGGTTTTCCCCTCTGCTCTCCACTGTCACTGTTTTTTTTATTCAACGTACGATACATTATTTAACAGAAAAAAGTATTCGTTAATATGAGATTTACTTTACCAGGAAAGAGTACGCGTTAATAATGCACAAGTTTCATTGATAAAATGAATTGGCTCATACGTCCATTTTAAATAGGGATTATTATCATGGGACCTTTATTGCCAGTATCAAAGAAGGCTGTCTCTGGTGTAGTCCAATCATTTTCAAAGACAACGCATATATTAATTATCAGAGCATGTTTGCATGTTTGTTTACAAGTACGTGTGGTTAATGCAGACTTGATTCCTTGCAAAATGTATCTATTTGGTGTTTGAACACCTTAATACCTCCTGTTCTATTGCCGGAAAGGGTAAAACTTATTTTTCTTTTTCTTAGGGATTTTTAGTTGGCGAGATATTTAACGTCTATTGTTTGCTCTCCCAGTCTGCCCAGTTGAGGGGGGGGGGGGGGGTCAGAGCCCTTCTGCTTCAATTGTGGTGCTGCCTGTGCCATGCTCAAATATATTCCGATTTAGTTTTGTGCACTGTGAACTCCACGTGTCCGTGTCTAGTCGATGACAAGCTGTCACGTGAATGTCGTACTGGATTTAAGCAACGGTACATTTTGAAGGCGTTTACTGCGAGTCATCAACGGACAGGGCTTGCTTGGTCACCTGTGAGCCTCTCGATCTCCCCGAGGAACAGGTAGAGCCCTCCCATGCGGGTGGTGAAGGGCTCGATGAGTGACGTGTCCACCCACAGCTTGTGACACTCGGTCCCATTCACCATCGTGACTCTCGCCCGCGAATGAACAGCATCGTACAGGACCATCCTACGGTTATGGGACAACACAGTGTGAACATCATTTGCCACCGAAGTTGCATTATGCACCGCTGAACAAGAACCACTGCCATGACACCTTGCACCACTTACATAACATCATGTACCATTGACGGAAGACCACCGACTTTAGACCGCATACAACTGGCATTCCACGATGCAATAATAACTTTGGGTGGAGCGGTTAACTCACTGCGCCATTACCTAACTGTCCTGAGTTTGATTCCCAGGCATGGCTGTCATCAGTCATGAGTGATATCTAAAATGCTCCTGTGCCCCGCACCACGTTAAAAAACACCCGCACTTACCGGTGTGGTAATGACGTATCGTCAAACAACCCTTCGTGACACACATGACGTGGGGAGACCTTGATTCAGTCGTGGAATCGGAAAGGACTGCAAATTATTATTAAAAAAACAGTGCAATTCCTATTGGTGAAACATTCTGAAGCAGACTATGGCTTCCAGTTTCGGCTCGGTGCAGCGTACCTTCCGATGGTGCGCACGCTCTGCACCTCGCCGTCAGTAGGCTCTCCTCCTTCCAGCTCCCACAGAAAGCGGAAAATAGCTGGCCTAGGTAGAGCTCGGTTAAACCTGGTCGCCATGGCTACGGAGAAAATATAAATACAGAAACACGTTACGTAAAAAATCAAGCATGTGCATAGATTATGTAATGCTAACACTCCTACCTCTTCAGAATAGTTTAATTAGTAGCACTGAAGCCCCGAGGCAGCTTTCAAGGCAACATACTTTTACATATTTGCAGATACAGCAAGTCCTCGCTTAACGCGGAGGTTGCGTTCCTGAAAATTGCCGCGTCGAGCGAATTCGCGTTAAGCGGGATTAGTTTTCCCATAAAGATTAATAGTGAATGTGGGGGTGCCGTTCCAGCCCGTAATTTTGTTTATAATTTGACAGGAAACGTTTTCCATGCTTGTTGTATTTATATAAATATTCTATGCGGGACAGTCATTCATTTATATAAAAAGTGTGCGAGAGAGAGAGGCATGGGAAGTGAAAAAGATAAGGGAGTGAGATGACGCTACGCACACAAAGCTGCACGGAACAAAGATTGATGAAGAGGGCACACCGTGTGTCACAGCTCGCATCAGTAGTCAGTACCAGCTCCCAGCATCACAAAACAACGCTTGCCAACACCCACGCCGCTCAGGAAAGTAGTCCCTCACGTGCTAGACTCGTGTTAAAGCAGGCACGTGCTGTGTGTCAAGCAAAACACGTTGTTTAAAAGAAAACCGCGTTAAAGCTAAAACACGTAGTGTAAGTACACGTTGAATGGGGATTTACTTTAGTATTTTTTTGCTCTGGTTTGTGTCTACAAAATTTGGGCAACATTTTGAACAAGTGGATTTCAACATGCTAAATCCCAAATAGAAACACAACGTTATGAACAGTTTGGTTCAATTTGGATCAACTAAAGCAGTTATCCTGCCTGCACATTACACACGAACGAACAAAGTTAATGCATACATGCTTTAAACCTTAGCTGGAAATATTAAAAAGTAAAAGTGTTTTCCTCATGGCTTAAATGATTGTGGGGAGTTGATAAGCTCATATTTAGTCCAGAGTCAGTTGTGGAAGTTCCATATACCTATGGCAAGGAGCAGTGAATAATGACCTATTTAGAATAGAACCCACCATTAAAATAAGAAGTCCTCAACAAACCCATGATGAAGGGACTGTATAAATCAGGGGTCGGAAACCAAAATAACAAGAGTCAATTTTTAGAATTCAGTAAAAAATAATCAATATTTCAAGAGCCACAATGCATGTGAATAACATCATGAATCAGCTCCTCAGAGAGCCGCATGCGGCTCTGGAACAGTTTATTTAGAATTGCCCTGTGAGCTAAGCAACAGGTCACATAAAAATTATAAATACAATAAATACAGCAATGAAAAAAGTCAACAAATAAAGAAAATGTAAAATATATTACTTAATTATGAATTAAATCTTTAACTAAACTGAAAATTAAGATTGGAGATGCAGGTTGCCAACCCTTGCGACAGATTAATGGTGCACACATAATAAAAACTCAGCAACATTCTATAATTCACCTCTAGTTAAAATCAGCTTTTACTAAAAACGTGTTGACTTTTTAAGGGTTTTGTTTCCAATGAATACGAATGAAAAACTGTTCATGTAATTTAAAAACTACTCAAGTCAACTATATGTCAAACAGTTTTCTCAGGGCACCATAGTGTGATTGCCACCCATATGTCAAGAAGTCTCTACTGTGAATAAGGGCCTTTGCCAAACACATCAGCCTTTTGTATTTTTTTTATATTCAAAGCACACTGTGAATGTGGCGAGTCTTTCAGAATAGGTATTATGAGCGCACTGCATTATTTGAGAAAACTACCATTCAGATTATGTATAGTAGCACACTATATCTCTTCTCCAAAGAAGGTACTAGTACCCAAAACATTCCTTTACATTTGTCTGCTAGTAAACAGAAACGTTAATGATAAATGTAGCAAGTGTTTTCTTCAGTCAATGGCTCTTGTTCTTCCACACTGCACATCGAGACGAAGGCACTGACTGCCCAGTTGCCCCACAAAGATAACAAAAATCGCCGTTCGCCAATAACTGGCGGTGACAGTCAGCATGGCGCTTGTGCCATGCTAGGTGCACTTTGAGGTCACGTGAAGTGGTGAAGGCCCACTGGCAGGAGGTCACGAAACAGACCCAGGTGCCATGGGTTGACCGAGATGACCGGTAGATTCACCACCTGTGCTCCCCCGTACCAAATTTCTGCGTTTTAGTCACCCGGCGCTCTGCAAGTTATCGTGAGCATCATTCCTCTGCCCTCCGTTGTTGTTGGATAGCTGCCTCCAATTCCCCAGTAGCGTCCTTCACGAACTTCCTCCAGAGGCCGATCCTGACACCGCTGGCACAGGTCATCGGTAGGTCAACTCGGCTCCACATCCTTCTGTGCCGCATCAGCTCCATCTCTCCACAGACACCCGTGCAAGCGGCATTCAAACGCACTCCACGAATTGGCGTGAGGGCCTTGCGTGCAAGCGGACAAAACGGTAGGTTTAATGCCCCTTATAAAACTCGTAAATATTGTGTCAACGTATCTAACGGACGCGTAGTGAGTCACTGAGACGAGTGGCTTGTTGACATTACTTCTGGTGGCACCTGGCCAATGTTGTAAATTCCACATTCCCACGGCGTGACCTGGCGTGACCTTACTCAAATTGGCCAACGATTTTGTCATTGTGGAAATCGTTGGGACAGAGAAACAAAAATGTTGACGGCCCTGAGCTAAGTGGTGGCAATTCCACGTTCACATGCCAAACTCACACACCGAATAAAATAAGTCCCTCAGCCGCCCACTGCGGTGGAAATTCCACGTTGCCGCGGCGGGGTCGCGCACTCCTTCAAACTCCTAACACGAGTCGGCGGTCAACAACCCCCCAGGTTACCGTACTCTGCGTCCTCGTCTCGTCCGTGTAAACACAACCACAACAAACGCGACGGCACGTAGCGCCACACGCACTCCCCGGTAAACACGGAACGTTGGGCCAAACGTTGACTCGGCGTTCCATGGACTGGTGCGTTTCAGTTTTCATTTACAGTATTGGGTATAGCCCCGTGAGCCATTCGGCTCTTGAATCGGGTGCAACCGCAACAAACAAAAACATGAAGAAGAAAACATCTTAAAGTGACTCTGCGCAAACAGAAAAATCCAGGAAAAAACTGCAAAGTCTTCCAGAAATAAATCACCGTACACCAACACTCTGTGCAAAAATCCCAGTGGGATGCAAGTCAAACAACAACCACAAGACAACTTAGATTAAAGCCATCATTCCAACTCCTTACTACAACAAACAAACATGGCCAAACCAAAACACTTTTCGAAATTGTTCTGGGTGGCATCGCAGTCCGTGCGGAGAATGTCTTTACGACGACGACAACGACAGACATCGACGAGATTCGCTGCGAGAAAGACTTCGTGCCATGTTGGCAGCACGCGGCAAAATGAAAATTGGAAACAAACAAACGACACGTGCAGTGAGAATGGTGGGTGGTGGGTGGGGTGACCACCTTTCAAATCGCGACAACGTACGACGTTTAAAGCCACGGCACTCATTTACACGGCAGGGCTCGTGAGAGACGGCCCATTCTAGTCCAGCAGTGGAGCGACTCCCGTGTCCGGCCCCACAGCCTTGAAGGGCCCCCCAATTAGCGCCGCGCCACGCACGCGCGATCAGACGATTTGAATCCGTAGTCCGCACAGGCAGCCCCGCGTAGCACGGCGTACGAGGCGGCGACGGTTGGTGGTGAGCGGCAGAGCTGCCTATACGGTGTATAAATTACAACGGTGACGTCACCACGGCAAGCTAAACCACGCCCCCTCCCCGCAGATAAATAATTAAATCGCCGCCGCCGCGCGCGCGCGACTCGAAATAAATAAATAAATAACCGCCCCCGACTTCGATTTCGTAGTCCGCTTGCGCGCGCGTCGAACGTTCGGTAGCCAACGGGCGCTCGGCATTTTCGAGCGCGTGACGCGCTCTCGGCCAATGGGAAGCGGGCAAGTTGTTGTCGGGGGGGGCGGGGCGGGTTGGTTGTCGGCTATCGACGGAAGCGCGGTGTGGAATCTAAAGGCAGCCCCCCCCCCACCCCCCGTTGGATTGAGTGGACTGGGAGCTGTCGTGGTGGCGGCGGCGGTGAAAGACTGCGACAGACAGACAGAGAGAGAGAGACTCACCGTGCCCCCCTCTCTCGCCATCTCCACACCTTGCTTACAAACTCTACACGCAGGTAGCCCTCACCTGGGACCACCCCCGTCCCCATCTCCATCTCCCTACGCGGCCGCCCTCGTCCCCCTCCTCCTCCTCCTAGTGCGAGACTTGTTGTTATCGTCAGACGAGATGGTGGATGTGTGTGTGTGTCCACGGTGTATCTCGAGTCGTGTATGTGTGTGTGTGTCCACGGTGTATATCGTGTGTGTGTGTGTGGCAAGGCCTCGGCGACTATTTGATAAGCCTGTGTCTGACTCGTTACAATCGCCGCTGTCCGCAGCTACTTTTTGGCATCAACCTCCGGATGAAGGCCTCGCCTCGGGGGCCGTGTTTGTGTCACGGCGAGATTCGGTGGGTGATCGTGTGTGTTTGACCATACTTCACGCCGGTCAGTGGTGGTGGTAGTGGTGGTGTGGTGGGGTATTGATGACCGTGGAGAATCGGTTCAGCGACGGACATTCAAGCCGTGGCCCCGGAATGGAACTGGGCCTCGTTGGAGAGGTTCAAGGTGCAGCTGCTGGCGCCACCGCTCATTGTTGAATCGCGATTTGAATACAACAACCACAGTGGCTCTACGCCAATGTCACTTGCAGTGTGTCACCGTTGTGCCGTGGTGTCACGTTATCAGGGCCACACACATGCTTAGATATCGGTGGGTTTACTTCACCACGTCGTTTGATATCCGGCCAAGACGAACGTCGCCAGCGGTTCACTGGTGGTGGCTCTGCCACCCCCCGGGGTCTCCCGTAGGTCACCGATTTGGCCTTTCCATGACTCCACGTTGCTGCCCGTGGTAATAATAAACATCATCATCTGTCCTGGGGCAGACCAAAGGTTGTGTACGGTCAAGGGATGGTTACGTGCTATTCCATGATATTGTGTTGTGCTGATGTTCTTTGGGAAGTGATGCCCACTGAGCAGTTCGCTGTTGAAACGGGAGCTTGTCATGTAGAGATGGGGGGGGGGGGCTACTGACAGCTCTGAGAAAAGCAAAGCATCAGTCCCAGGAACATAAAGTATTGCTTGGATACTAAATGGCTTGGGAAATTCTACTACCTCAGCTCTGTGCGAGTGGCGTGGTTGTCAATAGGGTGGCAGAGTTCTCATACCTGGTGTGTTTATGGCCAGCTCTGTCTTGGCAGCAGATATGACACCAAATCATTTGAATGTTGTTACCTTGGCTTCAGGTGCGTAACACGAGTGTGTAAGATGCCTGGCCTGTTGCTTCACACACATAGCTCGTGGTCTTGTCACAATCATACACTCTGTTCTTTATCCTTGCGAAATGTGGGCTCCTTAACGGGGTAACACCTATGCTGGCCTGAAACATTTAGGCGGGTCTGCTTACGATCCATTATTAGTTTAACCAAAATGGATTGTGTGATTTGGATGTAAGCCCATCATTGAGAACCTCCTGGTAAACGAGGTTTTGTCGGCTGGGTCACGCAGCTCTCATCCGTAGCCACGGCATGCCCCAATACTCTCCTGTTTGGCTGAGTGGAGGTGGCTGGACGGACGCAGTGTTGTGTGTGGACTGTAGAGCAGATGGGTGGATGTGGTTGAGGAGGCCTTGAAATTGAATGGACTTGCTGAAGACAGGATTGAGTGGTGTTCAGTTCTGCCTTTGTGGAGGAGGCTCATGAAGAATGCCACTGGGTAGTGGGAGGTAGCATCTTTCCAAACAACAGCAGAAGGCAGAGGAGTGACGCTCACAACTATGAGCAGAGTGCCGGGTGGCTAAAACACAGCAAGGAGACAGTAGGGAAGGTTGGTGCATCTGCCATTCATCCCAGGCAGTTCATCTGAAATACGTCTGTGCTGCTGACCTACCAGTGAAATTTTGACACGTCACTTGGCCTCAGAGTGCACTTAGCCTGGCACAAATGTAGTGGTTGTGGTGCCACGACTTATTGGTGAATGGCGACTTGGTGTACGTGTGTTGGTGTTTAATATGTATGGTGGTGTGTGTGTATATTGTGTACGTGTATGAACAACATACACGACTGGGCAAAATGTATTCACGGTTACTATGTTATATTTTAAAATTGGCATATTTGTTAAGCATCAGTTGTTTTCCTGTTGAGAAAAAAAATGTAACCCATTTTGGATAGTTATTTTGTTTTGCTTTGAGTATTTGTTGAAACTGACGTCTTCCGAGAGAAACGCTTGCTTTCACCTATCTATTAAGGGCTTATAAATGTATGTGTGTAAGTAGCAATTATTTCTTATGCGGCGTATGTATCCAGGCTCTTGTTAAACGTTGTATGACAGAAAAAAGGCTTTAAAGCCTCTTGAATGTAACAATTAACGTACCCATATCCTGTCATAATTGCGTGCAATATATTCCATCCTGCATCTTCTTGTTTCTATCAGTACTGAATGTTCTTTCTCATACGGTCTCGCGTGTACTGTCCTTTGCACTGGATGTCGTCTGTGTGCGTTTTCCTAAGTACCGGGCAATCTAATGTGTTGACCGTCTTGTTTGTTTTTTCTCATTCGACTAAACGTTATTCGCATGCATTTGCACGAGTTGGAAATAATTGAATGCACATGATCATGACTATAGGAAAACAGGAATAATTGCGTGCACAATAAAGCCGAATAATTACCCGCGTGATGAAGTTAATCAATACTTATTTTTGTGGCACTTTCATCCATAAATTTTTATATCAATCCAGTGACATCATGAGAGCACTGTAATGGAGCGTTTTTCAATAAATGTTAAACCTTTGTTTTCACGAAGAAAGATTCGAACTCCTGCCATATAACCTGGGACGCACAAACGAGGCAGATAGCGATAAAATTTGTATTTCGTGGAATATTCTCTTCGAGTGTTAAATAAGACCCATGATCATTGTTAGAGTTGTCCCTTGAGGATTTAAAATGAGAATCACCTTGTAAAGCTGAATCGCCCAGTGTGGAGCCAAACTGTTTGTTGAGGATACGCTGTTTCCTGCCTAAAGAAATTGAGATTCAGACTACTTTTGGGAAGTTAATGTTTTGTATTGAAGTCTGCTGTCGTCTCTGCTATAGCATCATGCAAATTTTACAGGTTTTCGGGAATATAACAGACCAAATTACCCATTATATACCCGATGTCATCAGATAATGGAAGCTTCGCAGGGTTGAGTCTGGATGGTAACCAGCTTGTGATATTTGTCATAGGGCTGTGGGGCGACGCGCAAAATCAATTGCTGTACCTTAGTTTTGTTTTCTAGGGTTCCTGCCTTGGCAAACCCGTACTGATCAGTGTGGCAAAGTATGGTTAAATACCCCCCCCCCCCCCCCCCATGATCTCCGTGGCATGGGGAGACCCTCATCCAGCAGGGGATTTACCGTGGCTGCTGGTGATGTACAGGGACTCCTCTACTTACAAACATTCGACTTAGGGGCCATCCATTTCGTACGTACGCAAAAATCTGTCAACTTCACCCCTCCCCCCCCCCTGTACGCACGCGTACTTTTTACCCCCCCACCTGCGTACGCACGCTTGACGCCCCCCCCCCTCCCACCGAATCCTATAGAACGGCCGATGTTTAATCCAGAAACGATCAAGGATTAATAATATTTACGTGTTTAGGCAAACAGATAGTCCACCGCCGGACTATCTAACTCATTTGAAGGCCAATGTGGACAAATTATTATCGAGGCTTCACCCCCCCCACCCCCCGTTTCCTATGTGGACATTGTCAGTAGACCCCCCATACGCAAGCTTATGCATTTGGGTTACCCCCTTCCCTCCATGCGTACGTACTAAACGGATGGCCCCTTAGGAACTTTCAGAGATATGAACAAACCTCTCTGTATGTCCAGCTGCCTGTTTGTACCGAGATTCGTAAATTCAACCACCGGGCAATAGATGTCGGTCGTGGCATCTACATCTGCAGAACATGACGAAGCAGTGGTATCTACATCTACAGGATATTGCACAACTTTTAAGGCCATTCCCCGTGTTTAGTGTACATGCCGTACAACATGTTTGGAATCGACAGGAGTAAAGTTTGACTTACGAACAAATCGACTTACGGACAGACCTCGGGAACCTAGGTCGTTCGTTATTCGAGGAGTCCCTGTACGTGTTTTGTTTGCTTATTAGACTGATTCCCACTTTACAAATGTTGTTTTTTTACCACACGGACAGAATAACATAGGGTGAGTTTGCGGAGACAGATTTGATCCCCATTTTGGAATGAGGAATTTTTTAAGACGCGCTAAGGAACAATAATGTAAACAACACCCTCCCGGTACTTGTTTACGTGAGGGTGGTCTAAAGTTTGACTTTAGTAGGGCACTTTGTCTTATGGTGAAGTCGTTAAGTGGTCATACAGCGGTTTAGTATTTATGGCTTTTTTCTAGAAACTCCCGGCTGCATAAAGCACTCTTAGAGTGCCTCCGATAAGTGCGGTTGGCTACGTACCGTGCGAAATAAGTTCAGCATACTGTACGGACATAAAATAAACTTATAAACGGTCTCATTCAAATTTGGTTGAGGATATAAACCTCTGTTTGTATCAAGAGATGACATCAACTTCATGGTGTCTTGCTCATTGCAATTTGAATCACATGGACTGTGTTTAAAAATAAGTGTTTTTGATGTATCTGCCATGCTTTGTCAATCTTAAATCAAGAGCAAACAATTGAGAGGACGTGCTTTTTCAGTTTATTGCAGCAGTCCGTATCACTGAACGGTTGTCTAGATATATTTTGGTATATTCCTCTTGCTTATGTTCTGTTAAGCAAGTGAGTATTTCATTTAGAATCAGGCGATAGCCAATTGATAAATACAGTAGATCTTTCACAAGAGGGGGGGGGGGGAACCACACCCTCCCAGAAGCTACAGTAACCACGCATTGTTCCGGCTAAAGGCGTGCACACTAAATCCACAATTAGAAGAGACAAATGAAACTGGTTACAACAAGAGCCCCTAAACAGGATTACAGCAATGATACATGTACTGCACTGCCTTGAATGGAAGCTGATATTGTTAGACCATCAGATTCAGTGAGTTTGCGATGTAGTTGTGGGTTTTCTCTCATGGACACACGCAAGGATGAATTTTCAGTTTCAAGGGAATCTAACGTTTGGCACATGCAGTCATAGAACAGAAGGTGAGGGTTCATGAAACTTAATGCAGAAACGAACGCAGGGCCCACAAGCTGCTGTTTGTGTCCATACGGTGCCACCGCTGCCAAGTGGCAATCTTATTTATTCACAGTAGCCTCCATGAAGGCTGCACGCAGATCGCTTACAACGACACCTTGTCTCACACTGCACTGTGGAATCGGGACACTCCTAGTAGGTAAATATTTGCGTATTTGGTCTCCCATCTCAGGGCTCCACAGTGGCAAGATGTTAACTACCTCGTCTGGTATGCAGGAGGTCGTGGGTTTGGATCCCGACCCTGAGACCTGCTTTATATTTGGAATTTGCATGTTCTTCCCGTGTTCGCGTGGATTTTTCTCCGTGTCCTCCGGTTTTCCCCTCCATGTTCAGAAAAAATGCGTTTGGAGTATATCGCTGCTATAAATGTACACATGATAAGCCACTTCGTTGGGCTATCATTTGTGGCCAGATTGCTTCTGAAAAAGAGCTAAATAGCTCAGTGGGCCTTACCTGGTAAACTAAACATAGTTTATTCTTTTATTTTATTTGGAGGACTTTTGGATCTTCAAAGCTTTCAAACTGTAAGGGCCTAATTTTCCAGTATTTAGTTTTTTTTCTAAATGATGGTATTGAGGCAATTTGTGGTGGAACTTTATATCAATTCAGCAGTTAATATTGTTTCTTAAGCTTTAAGGTACATTGAATCACGTGCATAAGAATCAATGTTCTTCATTCGTACTGTAATGGGTTCACATCACCCCTGTAGCCACTAGAGGCACTACCATTCACCACATTGTAAAGAGGAGAATTATAAAATTGAATTGTGACCATAAATCACACAAATATATAAAATTGCTGGTGGTGATTATTTTCACCCCAAGGAAAAAAATGAGACTACATTTCACAGTTTTATGTCTTTATAATATAATATTTCTATATCTGCTTGTGTAATTGTAAGCAAGCTCACGTTTAAAACATTAACATCATTTCACTGAATGAAAAAAACAAATCGTATGCCTTTGACATGGGTGCTTAATTGTAATGGTTGAACATTTTTATTCCAAGATGGACATCTTCTTCCTCTTCAGATATTAAAGATGGAACTTAAGCTACCATTGTCTCAAAAAGGAGGTAGTGACACTGACCTCATGACCTTTTTATTTGGTTTTCCAACCATGCTTTTTTAACTCAAACTAAAGAATTACTAAACCTTTTGTAAACTGCATGTAGCCAAACCTCAGGGGAAATTCAAGAATGTGTATGGTATGTTAACAGTTTTAACTCCGAGAACCCTAGCGCTTTGTGTTTAACATCTTAACGCCCACCCATGTGCTGTGTTTGTTACCATAGTGTCCCTGTGTGCTGGATTGCCAGTGATGTGGGTCAACAGTGTAGCGCTGTAGTGTCAGGGAGCTGAAAGGGGCTTAGTCCCCCTGCTGAAGGCTCAGAGAGCCCCCCCCCCCCCTTCAATTGTTATTGTCAAGGCAAAACATTTTCGGACTCTTTAACACCAGTGGTAGTTTTCCCATCGGCCTTTCCTCATACATAGGAGTGATATCTGGAGCCGAATGCATGATTAACAAAAGCAGATCATATCATCACTCATTCTCTTCAGCATGTAATGTTTTATTCTTGGTTCTTTCATTAAAGTCACGTAGAATGGAAATAATAAAATAATAAAAACAAAACATAATAAAATATTATATTATTTTATTCTTATTATTCTTTTATTATTTCCATTCTACGTGACTTTACCGAAAGAACCAAGAAGATGAATCCCTGCAGTCACGAAAGCTTTAAATCGACATGTAATGTTTGTTTAATATGGTGGCTCTCTTGCCCGCCCTTGAGTGTTTTTTTTTTTTAAACAGGGTTATGCTGCAGGGTTCTGATATTGTCTTTGTGTTTTTTCCAGGGGAGCTGCTGCGGCACCGATTGCCGCTGCTGTCGCCGCACCTCTCCCTTGAGTGGGATGGCTGGCCGCCCCCAGGCGTATGACAGCAACAGCAGTGACCCCGAGTACTGGGAGCACAACCCCAACTCTTGGGACTCACAAGCGAGCACCCGGCGCCGCCGATACTCCAAGAGACCAAGGTAGGCAAAAAACATTTTTTTTTTTTACCAGGTAAGGCCCATTGAGCTGTATAGCTCTTTTTCAGAAGCGACCTGGCCACAAATGATAGCTCAACCACGTGGTTTATGTGGAAATTTATAGCAGCCAAATGCTCTAAACCCATTTTTCTAAATGCGAAGGGGAAAATAGGAGGACCCGGATAAAAATGCACGCGACCACGGGGAGAACATGAAAACTCCAAATATACAGGCGTCAGGGTTGGTATCGAACCCACGACCTGCATATACCAGGTGACATTGCCAGGGCTTCATTTCAGCGAGGTCTGGCTGGGTCCGAAAAATATGTTGACCCAGCACACCATATCCAGTATTCCTCTTGCTATGGCTGTGGCTCCGAGAGTGTATAAATGATCCAGATTCCAAAGAACACAGGATGAGATGTTACTATCCTTTGTGCAAGCACTTCCAAGAGTTCATGAACAGTGAGCCTGGTGAAATTTGGGGAGCGCATCGTCAGTAGTGAACCTTTGGTTCCTAGGGTGTTTCGGCCTTTCATACTATACACCCTCCCCAAAGGCGGCCAGCGACAGGGTGATCAATCCTACGCTTGCGTCCCATTCCCATATTCAGTGAGGAATTAATGTCTTGACATCACCAAATAAAAAGAAAAACAGCAAGGGTAATATATGTCTTTGGTAATAGGTTCAGAAGGATAGAATAGGCTTGCAGTGGATGAGTAGCAAGCACCACACTTGGCTGCCTTCATTGTTTCTTTCACACCTGTGTTTCTGGTAAGCTTTTCATGATTCAGCGATTTAAAATAAATAGCATCATTATACACGAGTGAAGCAAACTATATGCAAATAAAACTACACAAAAGAGACGTGTAAAAAAAAGAAAAAACAATGCGAACAATTTGTCAAATTGTATTGCAATTGATAAAATCGTGACCAGGATAACGTCAATGTATTGAAGGACTGAGGGAGAGGAAGTTAATCGTTTGTATTGTATTTGAACAAAGTTTGAGAGAAGGTAAAGTGCAACTCTCTTGGGCGCTGCGGTGGTAAGATGTTAACTACCTCGCCTAGTATGCAGGAGGTCATGTGTTTGATCCCGACCCTGATGCTTGTATATTGGAGTTTGCATGTTCTACCTGTTGTCGCGTGGATTTTTCTCCGGGTCCTCTGGTTTTTCCCTCCACATTTAGAAACATGCTTTTACAGTATTTGACTTCTATACATTTACACATGATAAGCCACTTCATTGAGCTATCATTTGTGGCCAGATCACTGTTGACAAAGAGCTATATAGCTCAGTGGGCCTTACCTATTAAAATAAAATAGTTTTTTAGTTTTACTGTGGTCACTTATTCCATTTCCCTTCAGCCTTATAGTCAATTATTTCCACATTCCTTCAGACCAAGCAACGACTTCTGGAATATTCCAGCTTTGGTTTTGCAAATGAACACAAGGTGGTGCCCCATTTGCAGCGAGTGTTATGGTTATGAACCTGCTCTATCTTCAATTTGTTGGGCTTGATGGAAAAACTCATGTAAGCGAATGTGTCATTAATGACCTGCAATAAAATATATCTTTAGTGGGGCATGTGCAACTTACATCGTAGCTTTTTTAAGAAACTGTTGCTATTCTTGTACGTGTTTGCAACTGGTAAAGTTTTAATTTTGTGGGTGAAATTGCACTTGGTTGCTTTTTTGAGGTACGTGCTCTTCTCTGTTTTCAGGTACATACTATTTTTTGTTTACTGAAAAGAATGTGTAATGAGTTTAAGAGTGTTTGGGCATTCCTCGGAGAGGGAGGTTGGGCACAGTGGTGGGTGGTGGTTTTTTGGCTTGGGCGTTTATTTTGATGGATTGCGGTGCACATTTGTTTGGTTTACCGCTCACTTGCTGTGTTGCTGTAGAATCACATTTTGTCTTGGGTGTGCAACTCTCTGGTTAACAGCTGAGTGATGCAGGGATGTGCCCTGTTGGGATTGTATCCAGTCGTATGACAAGTTAAAGCCTAAATTTGACGAATTCACGAATAACATTGGGCTATTGCATTTGGAAAGTGGCTTTTGTCAATGTGTCGACTTTATACGTGCATATTTTGCAATGAAAGTGCAGGAGAAATTCAGCTTTAACTTAACGATCTTTAAAAAAAGGCCATTGACGGTGTTTCATACACTTTTTATTGTAAATATAACTTACACTAGAGCTCAACAATGTTCAATCCACACGTGGAGGAAAAGGATCCATAGCAGCTGTGCAGACTACCCACCATCAGACTGACGTGCATGGCATGGAACACTATCACTCAGGTGTTGCTAACCCCTTTTACTGTTTCTCTTTAAGCGAGCACATTTTCATAGAATTGTCTGCATTAATATTCTTTGGGTCTTTCGGTAAAGTCACGTAGATAGGTTAAAAGAAATAACAAAAAAATTACATGTCTGCATTAACCAACTTTTGCTGCATTTGGTATGCGTGTGCCTGGAACTGTGGAGACTTATAATAATGAGATGTTTAAAGAAGAATTTAATTTGCGTGAAAAATAAAACGCACGCCTGTGTTTGTTCATATGCGGAATGTTAAATCGCCGCCAGTGCTCGTGTCACGAGCATTTTAACAGCACTTTACAAACTGCACGCATTTTATTTTTGCGCATATAGGCTGGCCATCTGTTGTTGAAAGGGCTTGCATCAAAATAGTCGTTTATATGAAAAAAAATTGGTTATTTAGGTATACATAGGTTTCAATAATATGGAATTCTTAAAAATATATGAGGCATTTCATGATTAATCGATTCCTAGATTATGATGCTCATGATACACACATTATTGTTGTGTGAGGGGTATTTTATTTATGATTGATGCAAATGCTATACAAATGCTAATTTACCATTTCAGCAAACGGACCAACGGAACTCTACAAACGATACAGAAAAACTGAATCAATATAAATCAGGTGATGAGAATAGACAAAAATCAAATTGTGATCCTGAATTGACAACGAATATCTACAGGGTGAATATAATACATCTATGTTTTACTTGTGTGAATGAATTAAAATATTAGGCTTATCAATTACCGAATCATTTCACTTGCCATTAACCTGTGAACATTTATTTTATTAAATTATCACCAAAAGATGAGCTATTAAAATGGTTTTCTTCGCCAGAAATGGTGGCAGTAATTGTAGCCTGTTCTAAATTCACAATTTTATTTTTTCCTTAGGCCAGCTCAGTTGAATTGTGAGTTCTGTGAAATGTAAAATGCAACGAGTGAGGTCTGAAATGCTCCATTATCTCGTGGATCATTACCAAGATTTTAGTGAGAAGCTAAACCTCCCTTACAAATTAAGAGTTCAGCAACTGAAGCATAAATCACTGCTCTACAAAGCCACAATAGAATCCGATGTTTCAATACCACTACTGAGCAATGCTTTAAATAGTCATTACATATACATATTAACCCTTTTCTTTTTAAAATTGTCGAGTTTGAATGTGAAATTTTACATACAATAAGTATATGTATTACAAACATACTGCATTTTCTAATATAACACATTTCTTTATTACCCTAATTCATTCCTCTTGTTCATGTAAACGATTGACCTTGTCAAATTGAAAGGGAAAAACAAAACGGGGCGCAACATAAAAAAAATAGCCCCGCACTCTCCCCACCCCCACGCCCACCCACCCCCGAGACTTTTATTTTAAAACGTGAACGCCGCCCCATGCTGCTCCCACAGTCCTCTTGGGGCGTTGAAGGCTCGGGTTGTTCAGCAGTGGCATCGGGCGGTGTCGAGCCAGAAACCCGCCTTGGCGCTCGGTCTCAGGTCTCGCGCTGCGAGCACGCATGGCTGCGGCATCACGGCCCACGCCTGACCTCTGCAGAATAACATGAAGAGGCAGTGAGTATCGGCACGCCGCCGCTGTGCCCATCCATACGGTCGATTCGTAACGCGTTCGCGTGCCTCGGTTGTGTGTACGTTCGTCTCGCCGCCGATGTGCGACCACAGCGGCGTGAGTGGGATTCGAGATCTTGGGATTGCTGGGTGCCGCGTGTGTTCTGCTCAAGGTGGGGTGGGGGGGCTGAGGAGGGAAGGCGACGAGTCTATTCAAGAATACAAAGTCCGATTTTAACGACAATGCAGTGCTGTTGAAAACTAAACATGTGCTTTACTTTGAGGATTAAAAAAAGTGAATCCTCATCTAATGATCACTGATGAGAGCTGTGTTAGTCGTCAACAGTTTTTTCCCCTGCTGTTGCAGGACAGATAAACCAATTGGGATTCGGTTGGAGCTTCAGTGTGGAGACCAAGACTCCACGTGCCCTGTTGAACCATTTGTCATGTATGCCTGTTATGTCATGTTCTTGTTTGTGTTTTAGTGGATGTTTTGCAATCTGTAACTCAGAATAGCTTCTTAAAAGTGTACTGTAGGTCATGCTTAAAGACATCTGTCTTTTGTGATTGTGTAATGGAACATAGTTTTCATTTCTGAGCTGTTGAAGCATGCCTAATAACAGGACACAATGACTCAACGGGTTGTTGAGTTTTCTAAATGTTAATGTCACTGCTTAGAGCCGGAGTTATCAAACGTCACTGCCAAGCCCCCTTGGTAAAAAAAAATGAACACGTGAGCAATTGCGGGAATGTGTGTAGGGTGAACAAACACGCACTCTCTCAGGGGACCTTAGTGAACACACACACACAAATACAAAGATCTCCCGTATAGCCTATAACAGACTGTTGGGGCAAGTGCTGTTAGCAAGCACTCATGAAGGCCAGAACGGCACACGGAAGGGATGGGTGGCCAGCACCACGCTCGGCCGCCTTTGTCTCCCGAGTGGCAATGTTTACACATCACACTCGGTCGTTGTTTGAGGCTTAGTCGACCAAGGGAAGCCCAGGACCGGTTTCGATCAAAGTCACTGGTGTTGGCCGTGAGCGAGAATTGAACTCGGGTCGCCGGGTTTTAAGCGCAGCGTGGTAACCGCTACACTACCGCTCCCCACAC